TGAATCATCTCTTTTCTTCTTCTTCTGAAAATATTTAGAACAAGTTTTATTTACATATGTAATATATATATATATATATATATCAAATGATCTGATTTTACAGCTCACTTACAGTCCCTTTGATTTAAAGTTTTCAAATAATAGGTATGTATATATGTGTGTATGCAGACACTCTTATTACTTAATGTACAATAAACTTAAAAGTAGATTAAAGTCAAAAGCCAAGTTTTTAAGCAATAATAATACTAATAATAATAATAATGTCATTCCAAGCACGCTTAAAAAAGAGAGAGGTTTTGACTGAGAATTGTTTACCATATAAAACATTACATATATAAATACATTTTTAAGCATAACATTTCAAAATATACAAACCTATATATTCAATTCATGTTAAACATATGATTTGTTCATGATTTTACTTCAAGTAATTAACTTTGTTTAAGGGTGGAAAAGAGTTATTTATTTATTTAAAAGAAATTTTAAGTAGAAGCTTGGTGATTAACTTCATATTCATTGGCTCCCAGAGCAGTTGACAACCAGAGTTTGATAATCCAATAACCAGTTAAACAAAATCTTGGCTACTTGTTCCAATTTCCTCCAGGGTAACACAGGATTTTCAAGCCAATCCTCATTTTGGTTGAGGTTAAAAACCCCTAATTGGGTAAGTCATTACAAAAAAAACGAATGCCAGTAAAATACAACCAAAAAAAAAAAAATCTCATTTACAAAGGAAACAAAAGTTTGCTGCACCCACAATATTGCGGCTTCTCACTGTTTCTATTCCACTCATCCCCCCCCCCCCCCCCCTGCACATTCAGAGTGTAGTTTTGGCACAAGTATTTCGGCTTGCTTCAACTAGTCACCAAATAAATCATCATCGTCTTCATCATAAGACCTGTTGTTATTTTCACCCGAGGCATCATCATTCTTTCCTTCTCCATCTTTCGTTGGTGAAGCCGGTTTGCCCTCAGAACCAACGGTATGATATGCCCACGAAGAACCCACTTGGCCAGAAAGTGGTTCTCCATAAAGATCATCGTAGATCCCACTTTTTGTTGGAGTAGATTTAACCTTATTCAGGACCTGTTGTAGTTTATCAGTCACACCTCTTTGTGGAGCATTTCATCCTTTGTTGAGGCTTGTTCCTTACCTTTGGGTATTATTGTGACTTGCACAAGAGATTCATATTTTCCAACAAGACTCCCTTCTTTCACGCCTAATGGACCAGGTTCTGTTTCTACATCAGCCCCGTCTGAAAATCCAACAACTTCAACCAGTTCTCCCCCAGCTTGATCCTTGAAGGTAACTCTTTGTTTCCTTATCCTCTTAGCAGCTCTCTCTGATTGCTGGTCATCGACTTTGTGATCTGATGAACCCCTAGATGCAGTGGATTTTCCCAGTAGGTCTGGCATGGTCAGACCATAACGATTGAGAAGTGTGTTATAGTTCACGACAGCTTCCTCATCAGAAGGATCAGGAGGTGAGGGTATATCAATCTCTGTGGGTGGAGGGGTACGAGGGAAGAGAGCTGCATTGTTCTTTCTTAAGATGTAAGTTCTTGTTGATGCAGCAAACCGCAGAGACTGCCCTACTTCAAGCTCAACAGGGGTGTCTTTGGTCAAACGCTCATTTGCAACAAATGTTCCATGTGCCGATCCCAAATCAATCACATATATGCTGTGGAAATGATTAAAAGGTTGTAAATTACACGTGGTTTATCAAAGAGCTCCTAAAACTAAAACAGCCAAATCATGTGTTACAAAAAAAATAATATATATGTTTTTGCCAAGCAGCACGATTAGGTCACTTCTTAAGCTGATAATCTAACCATTAACCTAGTGTCTTCATCAGCACTGATTACAAGGGGAGAAACCCCACTCTGGAGTCATAGAAAATAACAAAGGTCCTGACAATATGGAAAGTCATTTCTCATCTCTACTTTTCATTTCATTCCTTCGTACTTCTATGAGATCACATAACACAACTGGCAGATATGATCACTCATCCTAACCATTCAACAAGTTTCTTAGTCAACATTGACTATATCCAAAAAATTTCTAGTCTTAGGCATAGAAAGTAATAACGGTGCATTTTTGTTCAAATCTATTATCCTTTTAAACTCCTATATCTTAGTAATTTGTTCTGCAGAAGTTAGTCATAATTCACATATTTGATATATAAATTAGAACAAATTCAGTCTTATCTTCAATTCCATAACCATGGATTTTACATTCTCACTAGTAAAAAAAAAATGAGCCACAGGAACACATAGTTTAAATTGGATATGAAATTGCCTCAAAATTAGACTACTATTTTCATTTAAATTTCTATCATATTTGTATTATATTCCTATTTCTATACTATAGAACTATAATTTGAGACAAATTCAACAGAAGGGAACTACAATATGAAAGAGACTTATGATGCATTTTTGTTCTTTTCATTTCTCCCTTTTTCTATGAGATCACCTTACACAACTTGGCCATATGATCACCAAGGGGCCATAGAATCACCAACCCTAATATGACTGCCGAGGGATGGAATATGGTAAGGGGGTTGAATTATGGAAGTGGTTTCTAAAATTCTGTTATATTTCTAAAATACTATGAGATCATCAACAAGTACATCTAGATCATTAAACTGCACACAAGCTTGCTATTTCGATTCATCTTCTTATCACTTTGATACATACTGTAACGTGACAGTTTACATTCATTATTGTTATCAGTTAAGTCAGGGCGGGCAGAAACTGTTACATAGTAATAAGTCAACACCGCATAAAAAGAGTCAAATAATAAGACCAATAAATGAAACTAACCTCCCATTTTTGTGAGGAATTACAGCAGCATGCTGGCGTGAAACAGACTGATGATCAAGCACAAAATCACACGTCTGATATTGCCTCCCGAATAGATGCCTTCGCCTATCCAGATTAATCCGATCAAGAATTTCTCCATCCTTCAACACCTCAAGATAATAAACACCTACCCGAGGCTCGATAGCCCAATCTGGAGGCTGCCACGTAGACTGCCCTGCTCCAACCTGAGTCACCTGCTGAGCTTGCCCCACCAAAGGAGCTGCCTCAGGGACCGCAGGTTTTTGCGGAACTTGATGCTGATGCTGATACTGGGTTTGCTGTGGGTAAGTCTGAGATTGTGAGTACTGAATTACAGGATGTGAAACTGCCTTAGCAGCAGATTGGCTAGTAGCTCTCGGAGCAGAATTGACCGTCACTGCAAATGGTTCCAAGGATTGACCTTTCTTAAACCGTTCAAGGCCTGCTCTTCCGTACATTATATTTATACCTTCTTTATCTTTCAAATAGGCTCCCTCAACAATAATTTACAAGCAACGCCAGCAGAACAAGACATCAGCCCCTAAGAAAAGAACACATTACGGTATCCTCCTATCAAAACCCTGAAGGAGTTCAACAAGCAAAAATATTCCAATTAAAATTACTCGAAAAAGAAGAATAAATTTTCCCTAAGGCCCAAACATAGGAAAAAGATAGAACGGAAATATCAACAGAACACTGAACTAAACATATCGAGAAAGCGATCCAATAGTCATATTGTGTAACAATCACCAGCAAACCACAGTAAGTATTAGCTTCATTCTGTAACTAAATGCACGCAATAATCCGGTAGTTACCGGAAGAAACAAGTTTTATTTATAAAAAAAAAAAAATAAGGAAAAACAAAACTCGAGGCAAATAATGATGAGAAAGAAAAAACGAAAATGGTAAGATCAAACAAAGAAACTGAAAGTTAAATAAGGAAAGATTGAGTATTGGAAGGTAGAAAAGAGTACCTTTGATTAGGGTTTTAAGTGGGAGAGAAGAAAGAGCTGGGCCATCATCACCCAAAATCGCAGACGCCGAAAAGAAGCGGAATCCCCAATTCCCTTGACACACCGGATTTGCTCCCTCTACGATAAAAGGAAATATTTTTCGTGCAGGATCCCTCTTGGCTTTTTTATATTTTCGACCAAAATCTCCCTCTGTTTTCTCAGTTTTACGAAAATATCCTCACCTGCTGCAATTTAGGTTATTGTTAATTTATAAATTGTATGGTATATTTTTATTATTAATAAAGTATATTAATAAAAAGAGATATATATATGTAAATATAATAATGAAATAACATAAATACAAAATCTACATAATATAAATATAAGTTAAAAGTTTATTTTTAAAAAATAATAATATAAAGGTTAAAAGTCCAACTCCACTATTGTATAAAAATTTTTGTATGAACATCGTAATAAAATTCGTGTTTAATTAAATTAGGAAGTTTCGAGTTGTATTTGAATCAATTTTTATATAACAAAAAATATATAAATATTTTCGAATCTGTTAATTTTATTTATTTTTGTTAACCTGATCGATCGTATAAAATATTTTACATTCGAACTAATATTCTAAAAAATCAACGAGAACTTGTCATTGAACTGAACATGGATGTTAACTTCAATGGTAAAAAATGAAAATCAATCAATCAAATTTAATATCAGTCTGATGAACAATTTTACATATTTGAATCAGCTTACATACTTGAAGCGCTTAACACGCATACAGGAGACATTGTTTTTGTAATTCCAATTAAAATGTTGGATTACAACAGCAGCACATATATTTCGTGCTCAAAGAATACTCTACTTTTTCGATTATCAGTGTAGAGACAACTTATACAAAAGAGATACAATACTTATACAATTCCTAGAAAGAATGTCGTTTCAGTTTTCAACTATCGGTACACCCATGTTACTGAGGATCCGAACTATTCCCAGACCTGTCTGCACCAAGGGTTCTGCTCTTTACAACTATGGAAGGAAGGAATCAGTCATGATCCCATTGTTCAAAGAAGAGTTTCCTCATTCTGACGAATGTTGCTGGCACTTTTGTCCCCGTTGAGCATGTTAGGATTGCATCCGGTAAATCATGGCTGCAGACCTAAACAAGACCTTACATAGCATATTGCGATCCATCCCAAAACTATGGAATATCAAATCGTATAGGTCAGCAGCACTGACTCATGGAAATGGAGAGAATATGATCAAAATTGGAAGGTGGTATATTAGCATCACCTCTTGCCAATCCAGTTACCTCAGACAATACCACTTTTATCCACTTCATCTGTTGGCAAATTCCTTCTCCACCACACCAAATACCACCTTCAGCCGGTCTTGCAGACTGGAAAGGATGTTTTTTGCAATTCTTTTCTGATGTTTCGTACTTTTCAGCCATGCAACTCCACAGAACACGCGTACGTGACAGCCCTTCGATCTTGAGGGTAAATCCTCAACTTGGTATCTAAGCTGAAGCTGCAAATGATCAACAAACCAATTAATTCCTTTAACAAACCAACAGAAACAAAGTTACAAGGGTGACAATAACGCAAGCATAAAACTCTAGTAGTCTTCTTACATTAAAATAATCGTCAAGTGGAACCCCATGGAGAGTCATGACCTCTTCAACAAGCCAACCATTCTTATCAGGCAGTGGAGATCTTTGCTGTGTACTGGTTACCTCTCCTCTGTACCGGGATATACGCTTGTCAAAACGGTAATATATTTGCCTCCCATATACATCAGAATTCTCAGATTCCCATGGACTGCAAGAATAGTTATGACAACCAGCTCTCTCCATAGCTTTACGGTCCAAATCACCCCCATTGAATAACTCCATGCAGAAACTAGTCTAAAGTCACCAATAAGATACAGCTCTCATAATCACATACGAATAGATAGTGGCAAAATATATGAACTGAAGCTAATAAAGCTCAAAATTTAAATTCAGATGTGCAAGTGCATGCCCTTCATATGATATGCAGCCATAAACATCATGAGCAATTGTCCATGTCCATATGAATGCTCCAGTATGAGCACATGGACGTATGGACATGTGCATATGCCTACCCATGTGCTTCCATACATTAACACATGCGCGAAGAGAAATAGATAGATACACAGCGAGTGAGTAAACTTACAGGAACAGGGAGAGATGACGAATAAACCTCAGACATGCTGACATCCTCAAGATCCAAGAAAGAACCACTCTCTTCAGTTTGGAGTTTGGCCTCTGATTCTTCTTCAACTATACGCACTTTCTGCTCAGGAGTCAATGATCTAGCCTTCCACAGAGCCATGATTGTCCTTTTTAAAAGATAACAAATTTCTTGAAGTCAAAGATCTTCACAATTCTAAAAAGCCAGGTTTCTGTCATAGACCTCGGCTATATTACCAAACCAAACTCCCATTAAACATTTGAGTACTCATGGCAATTTGCAGCTTTTGAGATGGCTTAGTCATACAAATCAAAAGAAAATCCTATAGTATAACCAGTACAGTACAAGGATGTTGACGTAAGTGAGTAGCAAGTAGTTTCATTAAATCTATCTGGAAATTTCTCAAATGAATATCCCCTCCCCATTAGAATGAAACATAACAAAGTTGAGTTATTTGGACAGAAAACCAAAATGGAATTTACACAATATGCACTTCCTTTGTGCTACATTGAAAGACAAATTCTTTTTAAGTTTACTAAAATTACATAAAGAACTGAAGAGATAATTTCAGCAAAACTTCTAAAAAGATATCTTATAGTAATCCGCACAACATGCACTTCCTTCACTCCGATCAAAATAAAAAGTAAAGAAACAAATTCTTCATAGGTCTACCCAAAATCTAAACAACAGAATAGATAATCAGAAATGATAACAAATCAAATGAAGGGTGTCAGTGTCACTGATTAGGCAAAAGGTTTTCA